TCTTATACAAGACACACACACACACACACACACACACACACACACACACACAAACCCCCTGCCACACACATAGCAAAGTCTAATGCAATGTCACTTCAATGTGCATGTTTTAGTGTTTGGTGCATGGAGAAATGACATACAAAAACATGAAAAAAAATTACTTACCTGGGCCAATGCAAAATGATGCAATTACTGCAAGAATGCAAAATATACTGAGATAGGGGAGCCAGTATGCATGATTCTGGAAAAAACACAACCACAAAAAAATAACCCACACTAGCAATTCTTATGTCAAATGCATAATCAATAATAAGAAATCACATGGAATACAAAATATTCTTTACATTCTTTCCATAGATTAGGGTTTATGCCGAGAGTTAGTCTTAGAAATCAGTGTTCCTGAAATATTTATTAGACAATTTGTATTAAAATTAAAATTTGGAATCTATACAGCGAAATGTCAAGAGGTCTGCTGCATTGAAGAAGCCACATATATTGAAAAAACTCATAACTTCTTATGCTGCAATTCAAGCCAAGCTGTGAAAGAGAGTTTCCTTGTCACAAATTCTGCTTAATCACGTTCCCCAGATGTCTCGGCCATATTAATGAAGGCCAGTATGGCAGCTTTTTTAAATGACAAAGTTAATCTGTGTGAAGGATGGACTAAATACATGGCTCTCAATGGAACAGGGAGTTCTGTTCACTAGAAGCTTGGATTGGGTGACGGGATGAATCGCTTGATGATTATCTGTTCTGTTCATTCCCTCTGAAGCACCTGGCATTGGCCTCTGTCAAAAGACAGGATACTGGGCTAGATAGATCTTTAGTCTTATCCAGTATGGCCTTTCATATGTACTAAGCTTAAAACAATATACAACGGGTGTAGTCAAACAGGTTGGGATATTCAGCCACATCCTGAAATTGTAGACAAACAACCCAATGGATCGGATTCTGTAGTAAAGGAAAGTTTTGTATGGAAAAGGACAGCCACAGGATCAACCCCATAGATCAGTGGCGGGAAACCTGTGGCCCACGGGCCGCACACAGCCCATCAGGGCAAGCCGCTGGCAGGCCGCCAGACCATTTGTTTACATTTGCTTGGCTGCTCGCAGCTCCCAGTGGCCAGGAACAGCGAACCACGGTCACTGGGAGCTGCAGGCGGCCATGCAACTGTAAACAAGCGATCTGGCAGACTGCCAGGGGCTTGCCCTGATAGGCTGTAGGTTGCCCACCACTGCCATAGATTGTACATGGTTTTATAAGTCTCCAGGTATGTCTACACTTCGAGCTGGAAGTGTCAATTCCAGCTCGAAGAGACGTATGTGCACTAGCGCTGATCAAGCTAATGTGCTAAAAACAGAATGTAGCCTCAGCAACGTGAGTGTTGAGAGGGGCTAGGTGCCCAGGGTACATAACTAGCATCTTGCATGGGTACATGCTCAGGGAAATTAGCCACTCGTGCTGCTGCAGCTACACTTGATTTTTAATGCTTTAGTTTAATCAGATTTAGTATGGGTATGTCTCCTTGAGCTGGCATTTACATCTCCAGCTTACAGTGTAGACACAGCCAGTGTATTCTTCCAAAGTTCCATACTTCTATTTCTATTACAGATTATGTGGTTTTGTGAGGAGTTCATTTTGTCTACAGAAAACTAAGTGAAGCAACAGCAATACTGGTAAAAAGAAATCAAAAGGAACTGACTAAGATTAAAAAGAAGAGCTTAAAGGAAGGTAACATTTGATTCAATAGGATCTCTAAATTATATGAATTTTCCCTCTAGCTTCAAATACTGAGAGAGAATTCTATTGAATTGCCAGGCCACAGTCCATGATTCATCTATGTAATGCTGAATAATAAAGCCCCTTGATTTCCCCCCACAGTCCTGTGGTCTCATCTTATTTCTCAGAAAATTTTGAATAGCATAATGTTACAGTGAGGTTGCATATTACTAAGTCTTTGTTACTTTTACAAAATACGAAGATATATTTACTTACAGTATCTGAAGCATCATCATAACCATACTTGTCGATATAAATGACTCATGTACAGGTTCAAACAAAAAAGTACTATACTGGTTTGTTTCTTTTTAATTTGTTTATTCTATTACTCACTAACTCTCAAAATATGACAATATGTCAAGGCTTTCCTTGGCATTAGTGTGAATTCATAAAGTTATATATTTATCAGAGAGGAGCTCAAGTTGGATCCAAACACAGATCTAAACTTCTTAGCCCCTTATACAGAGAGGACACAGGTGCAAATTCAGAACCAGATACAATTTTCCTCTGAGTTCAAGGCTGCATGCATCCTGGGTTCTTGGTTCACACTTATATCTAATACTTAATACATAACGGACCAGATATTCAGCTAATGTAAACTGACGTCGCTCCACTAAAATCTAACTTACAGTCGATGGAGTATCATCACTGATTTACAACAGATGAAGATCTAGTCCAATTAATTTAAACACATCATATTATGTATTAAAGGGTTTGGAAAAGCCTACTTTTCAGTCAGCTGATAACAAAACTTGCAGCCTTATATTTTATGTGTCTTATGTTTGTGCTAACAACCTTGGTTTTATAACCTAGTCTGTAAAGTACAGTTTTATTGTTTCATACAGTTGACAATATGGTAAGTGCTATTCAGATAGTTCACAGATTCATAGAGTTTAAAGCCAGAAGGCACCATTAGATCACCTAGTCTGACCTCTTGTACAACACAGGCCCTTAAATTTCACCCATTTACCCTTATACTGAGCCCTATAACTTGTCTTCGGCTAAAGCACATCTTCCAGAATGGAATCCAGTCTTTATTTGAAGACATCAAGAGATGAAGAATCCACTGCTTCCTGTGGTACTTTATTCCACTGGTTAATCACCCTCGCTATTAAAAATTTGTGCTTTATTCCCAATTTGAATTTGTCTGGCTTCAGTTTCCACTAGCTCTTGTTATGGTTTTACTACGTTCACACACTATACATACATTGACTCTGAGTGTATGTCTACACCACACAGTAAGGTATAATTATAGCTCGAGTGAGCATACCTGTGCTAGCCATAAGCTAGCTAGTGCAGGTACGCTAGCGGTGAAGAAACAGGAGCATGGGAAAAGAACCCAAGTATGTACCCAGGGTCCCTGGTGGGATTTTACTGGGGTAGGTAGCCTGCTCTGAAGCTTGTGTTGCTACATCGTCATTGCTACGATTACCTTCACTAGCTAGATTAAAGCTAGAGCAGGTATACCTACCCACAGTAAAATTACACATTGGTTTCCAATATAGACATACCGTTAGTGGCTCCCTTTGTATCAACTCAAGCAAAGACATAGGATACTGCAGTCAGATAAATGGTTAGGCTCATTTTAGCCGCTGTTCTAAAGACAGAGAGATCTTGACTATAGCCAGCGGAAGAACAACTTGCTGAAAGATCACCAAAAGCAGACTGTTCCAACCTATCAGAACTCTACTTTTCAGGCCCCAGGAACAAAAGAAAGCTGTATGTGATAATGCACACAAACGGAGGACAAACAAGGCAGACAAACTGATTTCCTTTCAGTGTTACAGTTTGTTTAATAACCTTCTTCCAATCATTTGACATAATCACTTGCGAAGTAAATGCTAACCCTGCATCTCCATGCCAGTTGCTTCCTTCCAACAAATAATGAATCTTCACCTTTTGAGTCAAAATAGCTGAACTGAATTTCAAAGCTACAGTTGCACTGGAATGTTTTCTCCCCCGGGAGTCTTCTGTTTGAATTTAACCTTTGCTTTTTTTAAAAAAATCACCAGTAAACAGAAGGCACATAGAGAATGCAAGCAATTTCAAGAAGATATACACCTCTATCCCGATATAACACGAATTCGGATAGAATGCGGTAAAGCAGCGCTCCAGGGGGGCGGGGCTGCGCACTCCAGTGGATCAAAGCAAGTTCGATATAACGTGATTTCACCTATAATGCGGTAAGATTTTTTGGCTCCCGAGGACAGCGTTATATTGGGGTAGAGGTGTATACTGTTTTACAGCAAAAGTATGAAGTGTTGAATGCAGCGTTTCTCAACCATAGGCAAAATTATCCTCTCAGATCTGCTTGCATGAAACTCTCACTTGGTAAGAAATGAATGAGACAATCTTTTAGATCACATTACAACTAACAATCGCACTTTGAAATAATTAAGTTTATGATTAAGCAGAAGATAGAACTTCAAATCTCCATTTCAGAATAGGCCATCATTTAAAGTTCATCAAAAGTTGGAATGGTCCACAGAAGGAAGCTGAAGCCAAGAAGTACTATATACCTGATATTTAAAATAGAAAAATGAAAGAGAATAGTTATGTAATGAATATACTGTACCTGTAAAGTCAGGGATACTGTAAGTATTGCAAAGAAGATGACCATCAAACCAAAACCTCCGATAAGTAGAGGTCTACGTCCAAGCCGTTCAACAGCTAAGCCCTGAATAAGAAGAATTAGTATTTTACTTTCCTGAAGAACCAGTAGAGCTTCGTTAATTAACAAAATTCTTACAGTGAAGTGTTAGGTGCTATGTAAAAACCAGAGATAGTAACAATTAATTTCATTTTGTTAATTCTCAGCTACAGTGTGTTCATAATTACAGTCAGATTACATCATTTGACATATTTTGGAAAACGGGTAATTGTAATATTCAGCCTTGCTCATTAAAAATAGAGCAAATAAGTAATATTTAGTTGGGTTAATTTTTTTTCCCTACAGAACCATAATAAGATTATAGATGGAAGAATGTGAAACTTGTAATTGATTGTCTTAAAGTGCAATGGTGTAGGTTCAATTTCCATTAGTGAAGTGGATATCAAATAAATATGTTTAACTTTTCTTACATAACAGTTACTTTAATTTGTATGATCAGACAAAGGGAATACAAAGCTATGAATCATAAAATCTCATTCAAACGTGGCATAGATACACAGAAACCTGTGCATTCATGCACCTTTTCATTTATTTATGTTGACTACTTTGCAGACAAAGGAACTTAATTAAAAAAATTACATAAAATCAGAGTATGTCTCTAAAGAGGAACATGATAAAAAGAGCTCTAAAAAGTGTTAGTATAAAATAATTTGATTTTCCTAGATTCATACACTTCAAGTAGATGAGTGAGATACATTTTAGACCAGACATGTCAGAACATTTTCTAACATACTATTCCCACCAATAATTACTAATTAAAATCGCTTTATGAAGAAAGGGTAACATTACTTGAAAACTAAAAAGTATGTGTCAAATAACTTCTTCAGATGATTTTAAAAAGGTAGAATCAAATATTTAATTTCCAGGTAAATAGTTATCTTGGACTAAAAGCCTGAGTTCAAGCATCATCCATGCGAAAGGTGAAATGCAGAAATGAAATGAATTCTAGATTACATGGGGCTCCGTGGTGGTTTGCAGCCATGGAATTCCAGGAAGAGTTGTGTTATAGGCAGGCACGTGTCTGTAGATGTGGAAGGGGAGGACATCACTTGTGCAGTGGGTACTCTCTCCACAAATTTAGCTCTGCTAGTTGTTACGGAAGAGGCATAGGGGTTGCAGTCACCTTGCTTCCTATTCCTCCTCACCCTCTTTTGGAGAAGCTAAAGCCAAAACTGGGGTTAGCCTGGGGCATTCTTTGGGTATGTCTACATAGCTAAGAAAAAGCCCAGAGCTGGTCTGTACCAGTTGACTTGGGCTCACAGGGCTTGGGCTGCAGAGCTGTTTCATTGGTCTGTAGAATTATAGACTCGGGCTCGAGCCCAAGATCTGGGACCCTCTCACCATACAGAGCCCAGGCTCCAGTCCAAAAGTCAACGCAGCCATGAAACAGCTCAGCAGCCCAAGCCGCACAGGCCAGCTGCGGATTTTTCTTTGATGTGTAGACATATCCTGAGTGGCCCAATATTTCACGGACTGCCAATATGCTCCATTGGTTCCCTCCTCTCATTGTTGTGCACCCATGCAAGACATAATACTACAGCACCTTCCATCTTAGGATCGCAAGGTGCTTTGCAAATATGAATGAACTGAACCTGTGAGGCATGTAATTCCTAACATCCTTATTTTATGGGGGAGAGGGGGAGGCACAGAAAAGCTGAGGCGAAATCTTCAAAAGTGTCCACTAATTTTGGGCGCCCACCTGAGACATTTATGATTTTTGAGAGACAATGAGTACCCATTCATAGGCCCCAATTTTCCATTAAATATGAGCTCTGCTCGAGCACAGGTGACAGTGGCAGTGGCTGCCTGCAGCTCCATGATCACCAGCCCCAGCAGAAGTTAGAGCAGCAGGAGGCCAACTTTAACTCTGGCCACCGGAGCTCACACCAGCAGAGAATCTGCCATAGTGGAGCCTGGCTCCATCACAGCCCCACCCCCGCACACCTCCCAACCCTCCCTTACACTGGAAGCATCTAGGGGCAGCTGGTGTAGGATATGCAGCACTAAGTGAACTTAGCAGACCAAAGAAACTAACCCATGTAGACTTTATGGCCAGAAGGGACCACTATAATCACCTAGTCTGACCTCCACAACACAGGCCACAGAACTTCATTAGCAGTGGAGAGAATTATCCTTCCCTATTGCACAAGTAAACACACTCAAGCCGAGTAACTATGGGTCAAAACAGAGGCACCCTATTGTAGAGGTATTTGGAAAATTTTAGCCCAAGAGATTTTCCCAATCTCACACAGCAAGTCCTTGGCAGAGCTGGGAATAGAAGACAGCTCTCTGTGCTTCAACTAGTAGACCATGCCCTAAGGACTTGATCCTGCAAGGTGCTGAGCATGTTGGCCCTGATCTAGCAAAGCACATGCTCCACAATGGGACTACTCATGTGTTGGAAGTTAAACAGATGTGTAAGTGCTTTGCTGGACCCATGCCAGAGCACTCAGCCCCTTGCATGATCCAGGTCTAGCTCCCCTATGCAGGGAAGTCCCCATAATACAGTCTGTGGTGACCAAACAGGAGAGAGTTAATTACCTTTATATAACTCTTTCCCCCTCTGGGTAATTCTGATTCCAATAATGAAGTCATAGAAAACACCAATGCCTGTAGCTAAACAGAACATGCCAGAAAATTTCACAGAGAGAGTAAAAGAATTTTAAAAGGTAAAGAAATGTATTTCTTTGCTGAATGTCTCCCATAGTATGATAGGAATATGTTCTGAACGTCCCTGCCTGAGGGTGGCTAGGGGAAGGTCTACCCTAGGAAGTTTTGCTGTTTTAACTATACAGATAATACCAGCTTACTGTTGACAGTATGAAAGTGCTTATACCAGTGTAATTTATGCCTCTTTGGAAACCAGCATAAACGATGCTGGTAGAAGCACAGTTATACCAACATAACTACCTCTACACTACGGCTTTCAGCAGCATAGTTAAGTTGGCAAAAAAAAAAAAATCACACTCCTAACTACATAGCTATACGGGTACAAACTTTTTAGAGTAGATCGGGTTCAGTTTTCATTTCAACTTTGCAGTTCACCACAATAAACCAAAATGTAAATCATTATTGCCTTAAAACTAGAACCCAGATGAACTTGTAGGAAGTAAGTCATGAACAGAATTAGAGAGAATGTTATAATTAATTAATTAATTAAGTAGTTTATGGAGCAAGTGCAAAGAAGTGTTATTCATTTGTAAGAGTGAGAATGGTGTTATCTTTTAAAACAGAATTCCTCTGTTAAACTGGATTCTTCTGTTAAACTGTCATACAAACCATGCACAGAGTCTGTCCCTCGGCATAAGGTGGTCATCTATAAAGCACAATGGAAACTGGTGCAAAATAAGACACAAGACAATTAAAAACTAGCTTCAGTTTTTCTCTGTACCTCTTTTTCCTTGAAAGTATTTACAAATACTTCTCCTGCCATATGTCAATCCTGGAGGTGTATTTTTATTTTCAAGTTAAATAAATGTCATGCTACTGTAGTTTCAGTTGTGGACTGTGCTTGGATATGGTCATGCTTCAGAAGTCATGTCTACAGTTCAAGTTATTTTGGATTCCAGCACTATTTTCATTCATTTTACTTTCATCTTTGGATTGTTCTAGTTATTTTAAGTAATAAGATGAAGAGGTTTTTATTATTTTAAATAGCAAAAGAAACTGGTTTGGGCTTTACCTAAGGATTTAAATTTTTTATATAAATAAAATAGGACTATAATGACATAGGAATGACAAGTTACAATTTCATGCTATATTTTAAACTTTTGTCCCCTTTTGAATCTAATAAGCAATAGCCACTCTAAAATTTGAACATTATAAAAACTTCTGATAGTTTTAGTGTCTGAGACTTGAATATATAAAGTGCTGAACAATTCTGTGAGATGTTGTCAGCCCTCAATTACCAGTAAAGAGCCAGTCTTGAAAACATTTATGCACATGGATAACCTTGTTCTGGTAGGACATTTGTTGAACAGAGCTGGATGAAGATTGCCCTTTCTACAAGTTGTTGGTGATTGGATGCTTTGCAATGCATTTGACATAACTGGATTTCTTAATTTTAATATATGAGTTGGTGGTGGTTGTGAATGGGAAACCTTCTCTGTTACACAACATTGTGTTTTTGTACTGTAATAGAGAAAGGGTATGAATGTCACTGTGACACAAAGGAAACTAGGGGTATGAGCAAAGATTTCATACAAGGAGCAATCTAAGAAACAGCCAAGATTAGGTTGAAATTTATGGCAGTTACATGAATAATAAAGCAAACCCCAGGAAGGGGGGAAAGTTTGGATCATTTTGTGTATGTGTGTGTGTGTACGCACATACCCACAGCATTACAAGCAGATTGGGAGTGGCACTAAATCCTTACATCTTGTATAAAAGTTTAATATTCTCTTAACTAAGAAATCATTTGACTCTTCCCTAATATTGATTGGTTTTCAGTGGGAAAAAAATAAAACAATGGAAAGGAAGCAAAACACAACTACACCAAAGCATTGTTTTCACAGTCTGGTATATGGTTTACCATGTTTTTTCACACTACATATTTGTTATTACACCTCTACCTCGATATAACGCTGTCCTCGGGAGCCAAAAAATCTTACCGCGTTATAGGTGAAACCGCATTGTATCGAACTTGCTTTGATCCACCGGAGTGTGCAGCCCTGCCCCCCTGGAGCACTGCTTTACCGCGTTATATCCAAATTCATGTTATATCGGGTCGAGTTATATCGAGGTAGCGGTGTATTTCTATTTATAGTACGGTAATACTTCCTGAATTTCCCATTCCCCTTGTCTTATTGATCCCAATGCTCCACTGAAATTAAATAGAAAGCTAAACAAGGTCTCAACAAATAAATAAAAAGGAAGTCACAGATGTTATTGAGCTTGTTATGAGTTATTACATGTTTCACTGGTAAAGAATGCTAAAGTTAGGATAACATACAGACTTTGATGATAAGCCCCTCTTTTGACAAATGATAACTTGCTCAAAAGTTACA